CTTTTGGAATAATCGGGCCTCCACATATGACTGCTCATCTCTTTGTAATTTTGAAGATGGGCTTTTTTATGGAGAGATTTTTGATAAAAATAGATTTCAAACGTTTTTGCAAGCATGTGCATCGTCAGGATTTTTACAATGAACTAACCTAAATGACAATAAAACAACAATTTACAAATGTTTGTTACAATAAATCACATATGTTTTGGCTTCCAGCCATCATGTTAAAAAATTAGTCAATCAAAGTTGACTTCTAAAATTACTATTTAGATTAACAAACTTTTTACATTAATTAATTAGACATAATTAATTAATTAGACATAATTAATTATAATTAATTAGACAGTTTTTAATCAATTTGTCTGGAAGTTTTTGTGTCATAATTTCGACTTAGACATGTACGTTTTAAAAGAAAAACAAAAATGTTTTGAAATCAATATTTCAGTGTTATCTCCCTGCTACCAAATTCATCGCGCTTGTTCAAGCCCGGTTTCTGTAGCCTGTTATTTATTGCCTCTAGTGTTGACAGTTTTGTTTGGGTGTTTGACCCATCTATAATTGTTCTACTAAAATCTGCGCTATTTCCTTCAACATTGCATTCCTAAATGTGAAGGCCCTCCGGTGAACCTGTTTTCTTATGTTCCTGAACTCTAGTGGTCAAATGTTGAACAGTTTGTCCGACAAAGGTGAAAGTTGATCCACTACATGATAGTTCATAAACCACTCTCGAGTTGAGATCATTAGCAAATTCTGATTTCAGTGATGGTAAACATGATTCTAGTTCTCTTGTGGTGAAAACCACTTGAGCGTTGGTTAAATTTCGTAAACTGCCTGCAAAGTATTGGCTTTGGTTACCTCTATATCGCACCATCAGCATTGAGGGCTTCACATCCTTTGGTGATTGAGTTGACAATCTCCTCTCACTATCCAGGGGCTTGCCCTTACCCTCGATGGTTTTGCACAGCGCTTCTGCCGCCACCTTTGCGGACCAATTTTCGATGTACTGATTTGTCAGCCATTAAGCCCTATTAGTTTCCATAGCCTTGTCAAATTGGTCCCAGTGAGAGGTACTACCAAAACTCTTCGTGCAGTGCCTTGGATAACACTACGCTTCAACTGCGTTGGGGCGCAGCTTTTATTGTTTAGTATAGTCCCAGTATCTGTTGGTTTTTGATACCAATAGCAGGTTACCAATAAAAAATGATAAAGGAATTGCTTTCTCGTGTCCAGTTACCATCTTATGTGGGCTGATCCTACCGGTAGAGCGCTACGTGCTATATTCTGCTCAAATTACTAGTCATTCGACAAAAATGAAAGGAGTTTTGACCGCAAAAAAAGCACAATACGACAAAATTGGCGAGTCTTGTAAATGAACCGGAAAGTTAAGAGTAAAAAAGAAGTTACAAAGTTGTTTTTAATTGTTCAAACTTTTTTTTTTTTTTAAACGTCAAAAATCAAAATCATAAAATTCAATCGCAAAAAAAACATACTTCCAGAAAAACGACAAGACAAGACAAAAAAATCTTAATTAAAATCATGTTCTCAAGTAACAAAACGACTGGAGTTAAAATGTGACAAACAAGCACCTAATTATAAACAGTTTTTTTGAATAATTCCGTACAAATCATCGGCAGCATGTAGCGAGTTCGTCCACGAGTGGGACAAGTGTTATTATTACTTTCCCGTAGCGCAGGCAGCAAACCTTGTAGGAGGTGTGACCCATTTTTCTTGATCTTCTGGAATAAGACTTCGTCTCTTCGTGAAATTATGTTGCGTACTGTTAGTTCTTCTTTTGAATAATTCGATCTGTGAGCATTTTCAGTACTCTGTCGATTTTGGATACTTCAGTGCTTGATGCATTCCCACAGACTGTGGAACAATACGTTAGGCGACTTTTAATCCAGGAATGAAAGAGCAATTGCAAGCCACTTGTCTGCACACCGTACTTTCTGAGCAGGTACATTTTCCGAGCTATTTCTTTCCAAATCATCTCTAAGTGAGCTTATGGGTTTCACATCATACTGAAATATATAGCCAAGTAGTTTGGCCGACATAATTTGCTCTATCTTCAACAGAGCGTTGGGTAAGTTGCTCAAAATACTCTTCGAAAATGAGCACACCATTTCTTTTGTTTTACTCAAATTGACTTCCGTTGAATTTTGCTGACACCAAGTCTGGATATTGTTCATTTCTTCATGTGAGCTCTTTCCATGGTCATCATACACCGGGAGCGTTAAAGTGCCATCGTCAGCATACTTGGATAATCTAGCATGGCTGTTTTTTGGTTTCAAATCTTCCACGAAAAAAGCAAAAAGCAGAGCTCCACCGACGGTTCCTTGTGGTATTCCTCTGTTGATAGGCAAAAAGTTCGTTGTCTGTTCATCAAAAACAACTCTTTGTTGTCGATCTGCGAGAAAATCTACGAACCAACTAAAAACTACTGATGGCAAAGGCAACTTGGCAATTTTATCTAGCAATAGGTTGTGATTCACCAAATCAAACGCTTTTGAAAAGTCAACCAGAAATGTCCGCACGTATCTGCATCGTTTCTTGCCTAGATTCTCAACTATATGGTGCTGTATCTGTAGAAGGCAGGTTTCAGAGGAACTTCCTTTCCTAAAAGCAAACTGCGAATTGGAGAGATGAGATTCTATGACAGGTGCCAAATACGTATGCACAAAAATTCATTCTAACAAACGAGCCAGAATAGGGGTCACTGACACTGGGCGATAGTCACCACACGTTTTGGAGTTGTTTTTCTTTGGAATCGGTAAAATGTTAGCAAATTTCATAAGAATTGCAACTTTTCGTTCGATGGTTGATCGGTTAAAAATTGTTGCTATTATAGGACTGAGTTCGTCTGCATATTCCTTCAAGAACCACAGGGGTAGTCCATCCGGTCTACTAGCCATTTTCTTCAGCCGTTTCAGTGCTTGATGAATTTCTGCAGTGTTAATTGGGGGGATTTCCGTTACAGTAGTTCTCTTTGGAGTAAATATATAGCTCGGGTCAGTGTTTATATCGGCAAAATACTCATTCAACTCTTCGGGTCTCACCTTTTCTGGTTTTTTAATGGCACGCTTAAAAATGTCTTTCACTTTTTGCCACCATTTTGAAGTGCCGCGTGACGATTCTGCCAACTCACTAGATCTGTTTCTGGCGATCAGAGTTCCTACTCGTTCTGATAGGTTGTTAGCATCTCTGAGGCGACGTTGTCTGAAATAGCGAGTACGCCGTTTAAGAAGTGTTTTTTATTAGCGGAGACACATGTTGTGGATCTCTGTCAGACATATTCACTTTTATAACCGGAATTTTCTTCTGTAATTCTGCAAGTACCTTTTTTCAGTGAATTGTGTATACACATTGTCTAGATCTTGTTCTAGAACTTCTGCCCAATTAAATTTCAGGATTGCTTTCTGGAGTGCTTCTTTGTTTTGACGACGACGGTCAAGAAGATGGTGTGTACGTCTGATAGGAGGGACAATGTGCAATTGTGTTGGTTTAGCAAAAATAGCATTGTGGTCAGTCTGAACGGTTGAACTAAAAACTTCGACCGAGTAATACCGAGGTCTATTTGTGAGAAACAAATCCAGAGAGCGGTCTCCTCGTGTTGGTTCACGAACGATGTTGGTCAACTGGAACTCTTCTGTGAAAATTGAGAGATCTAGTCTGATTGCTTCACCTGTGATAACTAAAATGTAGTTGATTCTAATTTCTTCAGTAACAACCATGTATTCTGTGATATGTCGTTTATGAGATCTTTCTCTTCGTAATTGTGTACTGGGGGTGATATTACGAAACCACCAGGTAAGTTGTTCGTTGAAACTGACAGTGGATTATTTGATAGTCAAAATTGTTGAAATTTGGTTTAATGTGCTGAAAAACTTCAAAATCATGTTTCAAGTACATCAAGATACCACCACCACTCTTATGTGATCTGTCTCTGCGGAAAAAGTGTACCCCAATATTTCATTAAAACTTGGAATTTTTCAAGCATGATTCTATCACAGTGATTACTGAAGGTTTATATGCAATTGCTTCTACCCTTAAACAATCAATTGCATTGAATTTAGCAATAGATTGTGCGTTTATTGTTAAAAAAAAGAAAGATGTCCTTGTACACTCGCCTGAGTTCGTGAACTTGGTGATAGTCAGTCTATTTCGACTAACTTTTTCCTGTGATACAGTTTCAAATTGCGGACTTAAAAAACTTGTCTTTCAACTTTTTCTACGTCAATTAGTTCACGTCGTTTTTTGCAAAATCTGTTCTATTTTCCTGTCACTTTCCAAAAAAGACGGGGAAATGTAGAATTTTTGTCATAATCTTCCATCAGATACGCTTTCGCTAATATCTTTCTTGGGACAAATTCTGTTTTGAACCTTACGAGAATTGTTGGTGGCCGTTTTTGTTTTCATGTCAAATCTTAAAAGTCGTTCAATATTGTCGATATGTCCGAGCTCATGACCTTCATCTAGGTATGTGAGCATATTCGATATGGTCTGGCGGTCATTCTGAATTTGTTCTGCTGCATTAGGGGCATCAAGTTTGGATATTTCATCAATGCAGATTTCGTATTGATTTCTCTGTGAAACATAGTTCTGCACTTGAGTTGTTCGAGCCACTTGTGCTCCAGTTGCTTCAGAGGCAGTCGCGTCTGCATAGTTTCTCTGTTGTTGTTCGTTGGCCAGAGAGCTTGCTAGAGCTTCCGTGACCGAAGAAATGATATCGTTTTTCAAAGAATCGTAATCAATGTAGTCTGCTTGCAATTTCTTTCTGACACTCGATTTGTTGATTGGTTTGATAAGCAAGAAAAGTTCTTTCGATATATCTGCACAAAAAGCGTGGAAACAACGTCGGCAGTGCTCGCAATTAATCCAAATGCCGTCGTCACCGAGGTTGTCGGCCTGCTTGCTCTTTCCGCATTTGTCAGTTGTATTCATCGATCCCCGTCGTTTGGTTGCCGTTGTCTGCGTCTCTCCGACCATAACAAATTTGAAAACTATTTAATAAGTTTATCACAACAATTAGGCTAAGGGCAAGATATCACGAAGTGCACCTAGTTATTCACAGGAGAAAAAGACGCATTCTGAGTGGTAACCTTGTGCAGTTCAATTTTTACCGAGTTCATTTCGCCAATCATGAAAATTGAGCAGAAAAACTTTGTAAAGTTTCTTGTTATGGTGATGAAAAAGACACATCTCTAACGATTACTCAGAAACAAGTAACTTCCGTCGTTGAGCTTAAGAACTGTTTTCATTTAACTTTTAGCTCTTTAGTTATATTGTTAAAGTATTTTAACTTACAAAGAAGTATTTCATATTGAGGAGTTAGAAACAGGTGAAAGGTGATCGATCTCTGGTTTATGGTTAATTTTCTCGGCTGAACCAAAATAATAGGAAAAACTGAGGAGCTATAGACTAGTTTTTAGGAGAGACCTCATGATTTGGAGAAGCTAAGATCAAGCCAAAGAAAAATGGTAGATTTAAAATCGATTTAGAATTGTTTGCAGAGTTAGCGTCGAACTGCAAATCAGAGCCCCGTTTTCAAGATATGTTGTTCGTTGTTAGTTTTTCAGTAAATTATCTGAAAACATAAGTATAATTGTATGTTCCAATTTTGAAACACCTTACTATGCAGTTGGGAGCTGTCAGGGTACCTTCAGGAGCAGCAAATTTTCATGCATAATTGGTCAACTCTTTCTTTTTTTTCAAGATATGACATTTTTTGCAATTTATTCAAATATTTTTCAGAAAATTTAAATTTAATTTTTCTTTTCATATTTTAAAAAATCCATCCCGTTAGTTTGGGGCTTTTGGAATAATCTGGCCTCCTTGTATGACTGCTCATCTCTTTGTAGTTTTAAAGATGGACGTTTTTATGAAGAGATTTTTGATGAAAAATAAATTTGAAACGTTTTCGCAACTATGTGCATCGTCAGGATTTTTACAATGAACTAATCTAAATGACAATAAAACAACAATTTACAAATGTTGGTTACAATAAATCACTTATGTTTTGGCTTTGTGCTATCATGCTAAAAATTAGCCAATCAAAGTTGACTTCTAAAATTACTATTTAGATTAAAATACTTTTTACCTCTATATTTAATTAGACAGTTTTTAATTAAATGGTCTGGAAGTTTTTGTGTCATAATTTCGATTAGGACATGTGAGTTTTAAAAGAAAAATCAAAAATGTTTTGTATCAATATTTCAGTGTTATCTCCCTGCTACCAAATTCATCGCGCTTGTTCAAGCCCGGTTTCTCTAGCCTGATATTTATTGCCGCTAGTGTTGACAGTTTTGCTTGGGTGTTTGACCTGTCTATAAATGCTGAACTAAGATATGCGCTAATTCCTTCAACATTGCATTGCTAAAGGTGAAGGCCCACCTGTGAACCTGTTTTCTTATGTATCTCAACTCTAGTGGTCAAATGTCGAACGGTTTTCCCGGCAAAGGTGGAAGTTGATCCACTACATGACACTTCATAAACCACTCTCGACTTGAGATCATTAGCAAATTCTGATTTCAGTGATGGTAAACATAATTCTAGTTCTCTTGTGTTGAAAACCACTTGAGCATTGGTTAAATTCCGTAAACTGCCTGCAAAGTATTGGATTTGGTTACCTCTATATCGCACCATCAGCATTGACCTTGAGGGCTTCACATCCTTTGGTGATTGAGTTGAGAATCTCCTCTCACTATCCAGGGGCTTGCCCTTACCCTCGATGGTTTTGCACAGCGCTTCTGCCGACACCTTTGCGGACCAATTTTCAATGTACTGATTTGCCAGCCATTGCGCCCTATTAGTTTCCATAGGCTTCTCAAATTGCTCCCAGTGAGAGGTAATACCAAAAACTCTTCGTACAGTACCTTGGATAACACTACGCTTAAACTGCATTGGGAGCAGCATTTTTTTTTTGTAGCTCAGTATAATCCCAGTATCTGATGGTTTTTGATACCAATTGCAGATTACACCGCTATCCTGCAATACATTTATGTTCAAATCCAGGAACGGCAAATTCCCCTCTGACTTAGTTTCCTCTAGAGTGAACTGCAGATTTGGATGAAGAGAATTGGCGGCTTTGGAGAACACAACTCGGCTCAACTCTGACTGTTCCAACTATGTCATCTACAAACCTGAGGAACAATTTTACTTGTGGAGCATCCTTCTCCTTGTTCTTAGCGCGGCAGCAGATTTCACAGTACCAGACTATCTCGGTTATTGATGATAACTCATCATCGGATATTTTCCCGCATTTTAGATTACTAGTTTCGGCAACTCTCGCATTCAACCCCCTTTGATCTATATGTTACTTTACTGCGGCAACATGGGTACAAACCGTTTTTGTCATTCATTGGCTGTATCTCTGGTCAAACCGGTATTTCTTGTCTCGGAGCAAACTCGTACTCTTTCAGCCATAGATTTACCAGAATTACAGTGCGGGAAGCGCCCATTGCTAGACTATCCACTTGCACATACCATGAATCATTACACTTGAAATATACTTTGCTGGCCGCCATTTTTAAAACATTTTTCATGGTTGCTGTATGAATTTCAGGAGGAGACTTCCTGACCGTACAGCATCTGTCAGGCAATCTCAATAGCTTTCTTCAGGGGAACCTCAGTGTACAAACTTTTCATATCAAGAGATTTCGTGTTTTCATCCGGATTTAGATCAATGTTTTCAATTGTTTATTTGGCATCTTTAAAATTAGTTTATTTATTGGCTCCATCGATATTGTCAAAAATTTTTGCAACCGTTTTGTTAACATGCTCATATGAGCTGCCCGGAAGTGATAGTGTTGATCGTAGGGGTGTCTCAGCCATGTGCACCGTAGCTAAACCTTACAAACGGGCGGGTTGCCCCCCTATTGACCTAATCTTAGAATATAGTTGATCACTTATCTCGTCTCCTTCGATCATGGCAAGTAATTTTTTGTTCAGTTCCCTCAGTATAATAATTTTCAGTATAACCACCTCTATTCTCAACAACTGAGATTGCAACAATGATTCCAGCATAGATTCATACGTTTCTTTCCTCAATTAGACAAATTTAATGTAAAAATCTTGATGATGCACTTAGTAGCGAAAACCTTTTTTTTTTTCAATTTCCCCCAAAAATTGAAATTCGGAACCCTGTAGGCAGGGCTTTCAATTCCAATTCCAATTCTCAATTCGAATTCCAATTCGCAAAAGCCAAATTTCAAACATTTTTGGCCAATTTCAATCCCAATTCTAGAATAACTTTGGAGAGTTTCATGATGCTGTTAAGGACTATATTACTTCACAGACCATTGTGCAATGTAACATTCGCCCAAATACTACACAGCGATGGAGCGTAGAAAAATTACCTATTAACGACTGGCAAGCGTCAGTTACCTTAGTTCTACTCGTTTTTCACCGTCTCGACCTTGCCAGTTGATTTTCTGGTCTGTTTAGGGCTAAGTAAAAGGTTACTATTTTTAGGCCATCAGTCAAACGACTTTTGATCAGCTTTCGTTTACATGCGAACACAACCACATAGCTGAGTCTCGGATCCTCAGACTACGTTATTGCTATTAAAAACACGGCTCGAATAGCCTATTTTACTATTTTTTTGTCGACAGTTTTATGTTAAATCCATTGGAGATGGATTGACCCTTTCCTCTTTCTAGCTACTCATATTCTAAAATATCAAACAATACCGGGGTTAATTCAAAGTATTATGGCATCAGAGTAGCTAAAAAGTTAGTTTACTATAGTCTTTTACCATATATTAGTCTCTGGGGGGCCGAGCCTCCGCTTCCGTGATTTCCTCGAGATAACGTCGTTATCACTCCCAATTCGTGGCACGGGAGGATACTGCTCAATATTCATTCCCCACTGAAGCCTCCCTTCTCGCTATTTTCATCTGCTAAGGGTCTTATCGTGCGTGATCGTCAAGATAAGAGACTTTGTGTTTTTGTCTTTCTCGTGCTACTGTTTTCACTATATTTGCTGTTGTTCTGACTTTTCCACCTTTTTCAGGCAAAATGGCCGTTTTTGGTATTTCTGAGAAATATTCGTTCGACAATCGAAGTTTTGAAGAAAAAAAAACTTCTAGAATATTTCTATCCTCCTTCGCAGCTTTTTTTTTGTCGTTAAGGCCTTTAATCGTTTTCTTGTGTTTCGCCGGAAGGTTGCGCTGTGCCAATCTTGCAGAATGGCACATACTCCCCGGACAGTTCCCATCATTGTCCCTATTGATCGCATAACAACGGGTTATCGTCAAGTAGTGTTCCAGTTCTCTATAATCAACCTTACAAATCGCATTAGAAAATGAAATTTATCTACTGCACCTCAACTCACTACGGGTCACAAATGGAATCATACTACATCTCACTGCCTTTCAACATTTTCACAAAATTTGCACCATGAGGAGTGTCCTAGATAAAATTTCTTTTCTGACTACTTGTGTCATCTAGCCAAAAAAAATCTTTTCGCTCTTGCTGGTTAAAAACTTGGGACGTGGCACGGCCACGCACCCGTTAAATTTAACTTAACGTCACTCACCAAGTATAATCAGTTATTTATGCTCTCATCCTCAATATAAAAACTAAGAAACTCTGCGGCTATTAAAGTTATTGAGGTACTCACCCTCTTCGAGCGAGCTTACCTAAACTTGCCAGGTTGCCACACAGTGAACACGTGTCTTACACAGGTTAAAAACATCAGTCGTGTTTAAATAGGTAAAAATACTCACCTATGTTCTATATACATATATAAGTAGCACAACTAAAACTTTCTTTCAACAATTTCAACAACTGCAACAATTTTCAAAGTTTGGTCTGACCAAGGTAAATCAAAACAAAAAATTTAACAATTTCAATAATCAAACTTGGTTGATTAGTATCAGTTTCACCGCAGAAAGACAATCAAGTTTTTCTCCTTCTCTCTTTACTCTTCACTCTTCGTCATTCCATTGCTTCTCCATCCTGTTCTTCAGTTTCACTGTCTTCTAGAACTTTTTTCCAACATGTCCATGGAGTTGCGGACCGTCCCC